GGTGACACATCCCTTTAATCTCAGTATTTGGGAGGCAGAAGCATGCGGGTCCCTGTAGGGACAATTATTGTATTCAGTTGTGTACCTGACAGTGAGTCCTCCAGACTCCAATGAATACTTAGTTCCAAACCTGTGACCATATAGATTTGTTTAAAATCAGTGGATCACAAAACAAAACACAAAGACATGAGTTTGGAAGAGTATTATAGAGTAAGAATGTTGGGGACAGGGGAGAACAAAGAGAGATCAAGAACAGAATGCATTCTATACATGTATAAAATTATCAGAGAACAACTTCAATAGAAAGTAGACATCTGAGCAAGAAGAGGAGGAACAGGAGGGATGGAGAAGGAGGAGGGGTGGAAGAGAGGGAGGAGGAGGGATGGAAGAGGAAGGGGAAGAACAGGAGGGGTGGGAGAGAAGGATGAGGGGTGGAAGTGGAGGTAGAGGAGGAGGGATGGAAGAGGAAGAAGAGGTGAAGGAGGTATGGAAGAGGAGACAGAGGAGGAGGGATGGAACAGGAGAAGGATGGATGGAAGAGGAGAAAGAGGAGGAGGATGGATGGAAGTGGAGGAGAGAAAGAGAAGGAATGGAAGAGGAGGACGGAGAGGAGGAATGGAAAAGGAGAAGGAATGGAAGAGGAGGAGGAATGGAAGAGCAGGAGGAATGGAAGAGGAAAGGGAGGAGGAGAAAGTGGAGTGGAGGCTGAGAGGAGGAAAAAGACAATGACAGATCGATCCTCTTTCACATTTCCATATCAAGGAAAAACCAAAAGATGATGCAGAAGAAAGTGACAGTATCTAAGCCAGGAAGAGAGCCCCCCACCCCCCCCAAAAAAAAACTCTAAAGTATTTGTCACTTAAAACATTTCTCTAGCTTCCAGAGGTGAGAAAATAAAATTGTGTTGTTCAAGCCAACTAGATTATCATAGTTTCTAACAACAGCTTGAGCAGACTAATGGACTTAGAACCTTTGTTTCTTTCTGGAAATTACAGAAAGTTGTGCCTTTTATTTTTGTCAGTAATACTCACCATTCCAGACATACACAAGCTCCTCTAGACACGTTAAATCATTTTTTGGATTACTCTTCAAGAAGCCTAAAATGAGTTTGAGTTTCCTATGACTACCTGGCAAAAAATATGCAACAGAGGATAGTCCACTTCATGTAAAAATGTCAATTTCCCCCAGAGAACACGTTGCAATGTACTCCTCCCTGCTTCAAGGTTTGTCATCATCAGTGCAACAGACTCTGGTTTGAACAGGTGCATAAATCTCTCTCTCTCTCTCTCTCTCTCTCTCTCTCTCTCTCTCTCTCCTCCCCCTTTCCCTTTCTATCCCTTTATTTAAAAGTTTTGCTATTATAATCGATTCTGGCAGAATTTTTTATTTAAAATATGACAAACTAAATTGAAGGATTATTATATTTTACTCCATTTAAAATCCTACACAAGAGGTAGCTGATTTGACAGTATGGTAGTGGTATAGACTAGATTTCCTATCTATCAAGGGAATCTATAGTATGATGGAGGAATGAACCAATAGAGTTCTATGTGTCATACCACTTGGAGGGGGTATTCTATAGGACCCATGAGCCATTAGAAATGCTTGTGCAAACATGTCGTCCTACATCTTCATCTTTCCTAATTATAGTTATACCTAGCTTCATAGTACGGCTTCGCTTTATTTTATGAACTGATAACAACTGAACTAGTCTAGCTTTTTCAATAAGATAATAAAATAAAATAATTTGGTATACTCTTTTCCCAAGTTCCTCATAATTCATATATCTCTATAACCATCATTATGCAGATAAGAGAATGTTCTCATCATTTACTTCTGAAAATTATTTTCATATCTAATACATTTAATAAACAAATTAGAATCATAGTTACAGTTCTACAGCTTTAAACAACTTTGGGGGCCATTCCTGTAGTCACTAAATTCTTGCAAATAAAACTGTAGCTTTATTTATTGTAAAGTTTCATACTTGGAAGACTAACATATTTTACCTACATTAAATATGCAGGAATTATGCCACCATGGAAGAACGTGGCTGCAGAAAAGACTGATTGAGTTTGAGTCCTAACTTCTTGAACTTACTGCATGTTGAGAGGGACACAGTGTCCTTGTGTGACATGTGTTATGTGACGTGTGTTGAGAGGGACACAGTGTCCTTCTGTGATGTGTATTGATGGGGCTACAGTGTCCTTCAGTAACACATGTTGAAAGGGAAGTGTCCTCTTTTGCCATGTGAGTTCCAGAGATGGTACTCTGGTTGGCAAGTTCTGCAGCAAGCGCCTTTACCTGATGAGTGATCTCACTGCCCCCAGAAGTGTATCGAGGCATGTATACCATCCCATTTCCCATATTTGCTTATACGCAACTCTCTTTGCCACAGTGTAAGAGACATTTCTCATGTCACGGGAGTAGTTAATGTTGCTGCCTTGCCAGCTCTTAGTGGCAACAATGACTCCATACCAGAGCCGCCACTGCAAGGCATAGGGGTGAGTGGTTTTATATGAAGACATGCTTATTTAAATACTTTGGTCTGCTTTTACTGTGGGAAATCACAGGTTAGCAAAAGCGAAAGCTGTATGTTCTTGTGCCTGAACTTGTGACCTGGACACTAGTTTCAACACCTGTGAAATGCTCGCCTACAGCAATTCTAGAGTGTAGTTGCTCCTCAATGCTTCTTTGAAAATGGACATTAAAGTGCAGAAAAGGGGAGCACTGAAAAGCTAGCCCGAACTGAAGACCTTTAGAAAATCACTCTGATTCTCATCCAAGCATGCTCAGTGAGGAGACTGAGCTTCAGTGAATGCATTCTTTATCGAAATGACTTCTCAGAAGATCCCTTGTTAAGACAAAGTCTTAGTGAGTAGAGAGTGATTTAGTGCTGAGATGGTGATTAAGCAGTAGGTTTATCCCTTTCTTTACCCTTTTCATTAGAACTGGGCAAAATACCATGCCAATGACATCTGATAGAGAACTAAAGCTGTTACTTGGGATAGTAAATTGTCTTTCTGAATTGCAGCATGCATTCACATACGGCAGTAACATCAAACTCACAGCCATAAACAAAAATCAAACAAAGTCTACATTTAGCTCCATATATTTGGACTACTACCATTTTTCAAGGATTTGATTTTTAGGTTTAATTATGTGTACTTATGTGTGGGTTTTTGTGCAATTAAGTTCCATGCCTGGCAAAGCCAAAAGAGTTTGGACCATCGAGCAGAAGTAAGCATTGTAGGCATCCCTACCCCATGAGGGTGTTGCAAACTGAACTCCAGTATTCTACAAAAGCAGTGTATACTCACTGTTAACAGCTGAACCACCTGTCCTGCCCTGTTATTCATCTTTATTCATAATGATACGTTTAATGTTGTATATTAAAACAGCTAATGGCTCAAAGCTTTGCTTTCCTTAAAATTTCCGTTTATGCCAGAAGCACATAATTTGCATATCTTCTGGGGTGCTTAGAACATGCTTGGTGAGTACACAGCATGAGACTGTATGATGAGGTAATGAGAGTGGGGGTCGCAATGCCTTCATGTTATCATCCATAGGATTGTTTTTTCTCTTCCCAGTGGCCTTCTGGTCTCAGCATTGTGCTTAATGCTAAAGGATTGAGAAATGTTGCCTTTTTGGCTGAAACAAAACAACATATGGCATTCTCAGATGGTGAAATTACCTTGTCTGAGGCCACATACCCAGTAAGTACTGGAGATGATATTTCAGTTACTAACAAAGGCAGAAAGTATACTTAATTTGTTTAATTTAATTGCCAATCCTAAATAAGCATTTTGAGTATCTTGCTTTCTTCAGGAATATTTTCACTCCTCAAATATGTTTTCTTGTGGCCATTGGGCCCAACCAATTCTAGTTGTAGACTCCTCTGTCCAGGACAAGAGCTGTAGCCATTCCTCTTATGCAAATAGCAAGGAAAATAATAAACAATTGCTTCTAAGGTTTTGAGTGTGTACTACCAAAAGCAGGAAAATGTACCTGACACTCATTCAGTTGTAAAAATGTGGTGCAGAATATCCAATATTCAAGATTCATTTATCTTTTTATTCAACAAGTGTTAGTGATTATCTCTAATACTCCCTAATTAATCTTAATACTTTATAAAACAGCTTCAGATGATTCATTTTTGTTAGTTACAGGTAGGAGGAAACCAAATTGATATGGCCTATCAAAAACACGAATCAAAAGTATGTGTATGGGTAATCCGAAATAGACAAGGAAGAAGTGTGAAAAGATGGCAAATCTGCCTAATATTTTTTATATATTGGAGTGATGGTTTGAAACAGAGTCTTTTTCAAGTCATGGTTGGCTATAATTTGCTATGTAGCCAAGGGTACCCTCCTGCCTCACATATCTAAGTACTGGGATTACAAGGATAAACTACCATACCTAAACAGTTTGCATTTTAAAATGTGTGTGTGTGTGTGTGTGTGTGTGTGTGTGTGTGTATTATTGTAAATTATTTTGGTTTTTACTGGCCAGGAGCTATCACGTGACTATTCCTAAGAGCAAGGATGTTTACACGATAGTGTACTATGTACACATGAATTTCCAGCTGTTGAGATAGCACTCTCAGTATCTGTATAAGTTCACAACAGGTAAAATCTCAGCCAGAAGAGAAGCAAGTAGTTGCAACTGGCTTTGAAGACATTTTAGCTAGTCCCCAGTGATGGGCATAGGAAACCACTAGTTCTCCCAGGATATTCCCTAATGACATGAAGGGCCATCTACATCTATCTATTGCCTGTGAGCCTGTATTCATTCTTCATGGCTCCAGAACAAATATAATTACAGTATCTATATGAATCTTCCATTTATTTTATGAGCTAGTCAATGCTCTTAACATAATGCCTGGCATATAAGCAATTATAAGAATAAATAATTATTAATATTTGAATAAGTCCAACTAGAGTTAAGCCTTTTTGAATTGTTTTAAATTGCTTTTAACTTTCCAAAAATGTTTATGCTAGGAATGTCCATGTGGACTTCTGAATGTCATTCTCTGAGAAGATGCCCATGACACCAAGCACACTGGAGGTCAACACCATCGTGGGTGAAGATTTGCTGCAACTGAATGCAGATATGCTGCTATCTGTGCTCCTGGATATGGAGCTGTTCATCTTTTCTCCAGAGCTGGATGCAGGCCCAGGCTGCCATGTAGCACTGAGCGATGCCATGGCAATTTCAGACAAGGTCTTTATTGCTGGAAATGTTGCATAATGACAGCTTTATTCATGTGAAAACGCAAAATACATTTCAACTGTATGAAATTGTTTATGTTCATCAGAAATGTTATTTGTCTTCACAAAGTCTGGTTTCAATGAACCAGCTATGTAATGGATATTAAATAAACATGGAATTTTACATGTTCATAATATTTGGTTTCTTGTTGTGATTTTGATGAACTATACTTTCAAGCATTGTCAGTTCATCCTTATTTACAAAGAAACGTTTACATGTAGCAGAGTGATGCAGTGACTGTCTTTATTTTAAATAAGTCAACTTTTCTGTTCAATGTTTAATGTGAAGCTGACTCAAAACATTCTTTTAGGCCACATTTACATTGCTTTCTGAATAATACATACTATATTATTTTTTACTTAATATCATGAGTCATATAAACCAAAGACATTCTGATTCTATTTTAATGTATTTTGCAAGATAAATAATATATAAATCACTAATAAAACTAAGGAGCTCATATTAAAAGACTTATAAGACCCAATGAGAATGATCTATGGAAATTTATTCAATTAATGGAAAATTTTCAACATTATTTTATATAAAATTAACTTTGTACTATGAAGTCTTGACAACAAATATAAAACAGAAAGTTGGAACTCCTCTATCTTTGTGCATATTTTAAAAAAGTGAATGAATGAATGAATGAATGAATGAATATATCCTAATCTGATGGTTTTTATGTTTCATAACAGAAAAAAAATCAGATGGCTAGCACACCCTCTGCATCTACAACTTTGTTTAGGTTGCTTCTTTAAGATAAAATTTCTCTTCACTCTATACATACTCAGAGAAAGAAATGGTTTTGAAAGGCGACAATGAGTTAACTATGAGCCCATGTTCTTTTCTTCTGTTGCCTTCTCTTTTCAATGGGCACCTGCCCTACCAGCATCCATTTATGTCTCATGAGATAAGAGAAGTTTAAGAGCAAGAAAATGAACAATCCAATCACTAAGCTTCCTTTAGCCTTTAAAGAACTTCTTTAAAACAACCACTCAGGTCACATGTGATCAACATCATTGTGGAGGAATGTGTGTGCCTCACGGCTGTTGAGGGAGACACTGAGTGATTTGGAGAAGAAAAATGCTGACTTCCTAAGTTTAAAGAGGGCTTTCCATACTACAGTAGAATTGTCTCATTATTGACTCCTTGTCTTTGATTAGGAAGCTGGGATGATGGTAGACAGAGAGAAAGAGAAGAGGCAACAGAGTAAGCTAAAAAGCTGAGAAGGAAAGTAGAGGGAAATTTCTAGACCATTCATGACAAGATGTTTGTGTGTGTGTGTGTGTGTGTGTGTAACCACATTTCAAAGCATTCTAGCATCAGTTTGCAATAGTCAAAAGGATTTCATTTTAAATGCTTTTCTATGATACTTTCTAGATTAGGTTACTTTGTGGGTGACTAGCCTCCCCCATTCCTAGGATTCTTTTCTTTTGACTAGTTTCATTTTCTAGTCAGTAACCTTTCCCTGACCTCAGCCTCACTCTGGGGTCACCTTGCTGGAGTCCTAGTATAAAACTGAATAGAAGGCTTGCCAGATTGTTGGCACTGGATAAGTGTACTGAGCACAATTGCCCTTTTATGAGCGAGCGGGCAACTTCCTCTCCTTAGGCTCAGAGCTCTGGGATGCCTGATATTCTCTTTTATTTTGTTGTCCAGTAATTTTCCCCCTGGCCAGATCTGCAGTCTGGTGGCCTTGCAGGACGATGACATGCGCCACTGATGCAAGAAGGGAAGAAAGACCTTTGGCGGGCATCAGCGAAGCTCTGGCCATGTGCAAACCATGCATTTTATAGGGAAGTGGGTCAATTATTTGCCTCCAGGTAATTAAGAGCTCCAGTGCTTTAGCTTAGCTTACTTATTATAAAATCTTAATGTTGCTATTATATTACATTATAGTCTTTTAAAAACCATTGCCTGAACATTTAACTATACCTGCACTATAGTCTGTTCATAAAATGCCCTCGGAGGTCCTTGTGTTTCAACATGGAAGAAATACAACTGTGAATCCACCAGATGGATAGACAGTTTTGGTGGCCAAGGCAGTTCCTTACTGAGGAAGCAATCTATCTAATGGGTCCTAAAGCTGAGATTCCAGGTCTATAGTGTTGTAGTTCAGATTGTTGCAACAAAATATTCACACTTAGCAGTGTATAGATAACAGAAATTTGTTTCTCTTGGTTCTGGAGGCTAGGAAATGCAAGACCATGGCCTAGCAGATTTATACCTTGTTGTAGTAAGTATTTAAAATGGCATCTGGCTCAAGCCAGTCTATCTAAGCTGCATCGACTCTGCCTAGACCAGCCGCTATGTTTCTTGGCATGAGGCTACGTGTGTGCTACAGTTAGAAATGGACAACTAGAAACACCAGCCCTGCCACCCACAAGATGTCAGTGTGGGAGACGGAGATGGCTCAATCTCCCACACTGTCTCTGCAAGGCTGGGCATTGCTTACATCATCCCGCCATCCATGCTGGCCCAGTAAGAGAATAAGACTCTAATTCTTATAGATTAATCAAAGGCTTATATATTTGGTAATGATCAGTAACAAGATGCCCATACAATCAGAAGAGTAACCCAACCTAGATATACCAACTATATTTGACTGCTACAGACACGTGAACATCTGCTTGTGTCTCCTCTCTGTTTCCTCTCTGTCTCTCGTTCTCCTCTTCTGTCTCCTAGCTCCTCCTCTTGCTTTTTCTCCTCTCCTCCTTACTCCACCTCTTCCTCTCCTAGCTCCTCCCACCTTAGCTCCTCCTACATACTACCCTTTCTGTTAAAATAAAAAAACTTTCTCTCAAAATACAATAGAGCATAACTACACTAATTTGTTTCAGTAAGGTACAAGATAGACCTAATACCCAGTCCATCATTTTGTTGACTAAACAGAATCTCTGTCATCTCTCCTAACTAAAAGTCTTAGTTCTGAATCTGGCTTTTTTCTTGGCTTTAGAATGAATGCCATCTGAAAACCATCCTCTCAAAGTAAAGAGCCTTCGTTGGCTGTGAGACTATAAGTCTTCAATCCCATCAGAAATCCAGAATGACTGAATTAACTGAAGATATGGGAAACACAAAGCATGGCTTCCAAAACTTAGCCAATTTATATAGACCTCTGAACACCTGGACAGTCCCTTACTTCAAAACATTGGAGCATCTAGTCTTCAGCCTTCTGGCCCAGGATCATCTGACAGACCTAGTAATGCAGAATTATTAAGGGCTGATTACTCTGTCTTGGCAGATATAATCAGTCAACTATTCCACAAGTGTGTCCTTTTTCTGGACAGTATTTTGTCTGTAGATGAAAAGAGGCAATTCTTGCCTAGTGGCTATCTCACCACAACTGGAGTAACTCCAAAGATGCTCAATTTCTTCTTAGAATCCAAGACAGGAAAGCTGTCAGGAGCAGACAGGCCTCTAATAAAATGAATGTTTATACAGGAATGCTTATAATATCAATTCTGTGGACTTCTGACATTTTTGAAAACCAACTATCTATGTAAAGCAATCTGGACTGTTGTCCATTAACTCCTTTCTGCTATTTCTAATTAAAATCTAGAAAACACCCTTATAGTAAACTCAGAGCCATGCAATTACTATAGGCCCTTAACCCACAGGCTAACCATCTCAAATCAGTTTTTAAAAATTTAAAAAAGGACTGGGTCTAAGCCTTGTATTTCTAAATGAGTTATATAGCCACAATGCCTATATGAGATTAACAATACTAATCCCACTTTTATATCAATAAAAAACTCATACCAATGAAAACCTTAAATTTGAAATCAAAATAAATTTTGTACCATTTAAGAAATATAACTTTAGCTTAATAACAATTATACAGATTTCTACCAAATAGCTAAATAATCAATTCTCACTATTCCTCCCTGTTCCAATAAAACCATTACTTTTTCCTAGAAGGACAGCCTAATATTAACCACCTCAGTCCCCAAGCCCAGAGAATAGGGGCACTGATTCTTCATTAACTTCTTCAAGCTGGTTATGGGCCTTGAGATATTAGAAGAGGGGCAGGGGGAAGAGTAAATTGATAAGCCTCTGACATCTGTGTCTTCACTGCATCCAGCTGAAATTCAAGGATATCAGAAGTTCGAACAGGTTTGCTCAGCTTACTTGATGAGTAGATATACCAAGGCTGTGTATTCTGCAATATACAATTTTCAAAACAAATTTTAGTATCAAGATAATTTTTTGTTTGAATTCTGGAATCTAGTCTTCTGGTGGCCTGCCTCTGTAATGTCTAATCCATATAATTCTGGGAGGTAGAAATATCTTAATCGGCTCTTCTGAAAACACATAGACAAAAGCTTTTTCCCAAAACAGCATTTCCTTGAGCCAGTAACCAGAAAAACCTTTATCTTGACCACTTTCCCAGAGGAAAAATATAACCACAAAACTGAAAGTCACACTCATCTTGAAAATAAAATTAGCTTAATAACTAAAATACTGTATGTGCCTATTCTTTAGGCCTTCCCTATTTTGTCAAGCAGGAAAAGAACCGGAATTCACGTGGAGACCACATTAGACAGAACCCCGAGTCTCCTGTGAGGCAATTTAACTTTATATCATCTGATACATGATTTACACTATTTTTCTGTTTGCTCTCTGTCAGAACAGTCTCTATACATTGTACTCTCTACTCTAGAGTCAGTGACAATTTTCCCTATCTTAACTAAAGTACTGTACGTGCCTATTCTTAGGCTTTCCCTATTTTTGCCAAGCAGTAAATGAACTCAGAATTCCCGTGGGGCCCATGTTAGACAGAACCCGAGTCTCCTGTGAGGCAATATAACTTTATACCATCTGAATACATCTGATTTACACTATCTTTCTGTTCGGCCCCCTGTCTAGGACAGTTTTTTTTTATTTATACCATCTATCTGTTTGGCTTTGTACTCTAGAGCAGCTTCCACTTATACACTGTACTCTCTACTCTAGAGCCAGTGACAATTTTCCCTATCTAAGTTCTAAACCGCAGGTCATAATTCCCACATGATTTAGACAAATCTGTTTATAAATCTTTCCTAAAAGCAAATGATCCCTATATTTTAACTTTATACTTAAATCATTTTATTTAAATCAGTAACTGCTCCAGAATGGAGGCTTATTTATTTAGCT